AATCTGACGTGACATGTTCGTACGAACCCTTTGTACGAACAAAAGTAAGAGAAATTTAGGATAAGAATACGAACATGTTCTTGCATGAGGCCCAATATAACTCTGACCCTTTTTAGTCTCTTTGATAGTGATTTAGACAAAATAAAATAATCATCATCATATTAGATTCTTTTTTACAGCCTGTGTTGTCAACCAACACATTAGCAATAYTCTATTTACATTCAGACATTCCCCTTTGACATCTCTTCTTGTTATTTCAATTGCAAATATCTCAACAACTGTTCATCTCAGCGGTGTAATTTTTTCCTTTTTTTTAAATCAATGTTATCCTTGCAAAAATGCATTCATATTTATTACAAAAAAATTGATGTCAAAGGCACTTTTAAGCTTTGCCTTCAACTATTGGAATCGGATGTTTCTGTCTTTAAGTGAAACGTCATTAACCACTTTATCTTTTGTTATTTGGTTTTTATTCAAATTTTCAGAAAGTCATAAGTGGGTTTACATTTATAATTGATCAACTTTTAGAGTTTATCCATTTTAGGATGGCYACTACAGCTACTCAAAACTCGCAAACACAAAAATGGCTAGAACTTAGTCARTTTTACAGGTTGAGTTCAAATTTTWTGTGGGASTAACTCCGTTATCCCATGGTGCTGTGTGTCACATTTTTAAGGTTTGATTAAAGTGCTGTACATCRACATTTAACTAAAACTCTGACATAGAAATCAATGGTTAATATGCATTCATTCAAGTAATGATAGGCATTTTATTTTATTTTTTTTATCACAGGTAGGCACATCATACTGATATCCATTCCCTCAATATATGTAAGAATAATAAAAACACAAATCAGACAAAAATTAAACAATTAGCTTTTTGCTGTGAACAAATCTCAAACACTCAACAGGAGGAAACACCACAGAGTYCAGGAGATTCTTAACAAGACTCCATATTTATTCAGCTGCTATCTGACAACACCTTGACAGATTCTGCATTATGCCTTAAATAGACCCAAATAATGACACTGGAGTGCAGAGCAACTGTTGAAATAGACGTGATGACCTTCTTAAAACACCATCTGTTGCACAGCRCAGCCACAGCAAGGCGATATTAGCCAGTGAGGCTGAAAGAGTCACATTACACGACTCCCATAGTGTTCCCCCACGTTGCAAATGACAGAAAGCAGTATTTTTGCATTACTTGATTTGAAATACTGCAGCGTGATCACTGTGGTTTGATTCTGCAGTCAGTGGGAATCTGTGGAAGCAACTGTAATTATTAATAAATTGAGATTTGATTGTGTAAATAACCACYGAGGAGAATGAAATCACATCTAYTTATGTTTGAGTGAGAAGACTTAATGACTAATATTCTGTTAYATACAGTCCACTTTCTTTCAGTTGTAGGGTTGCATCAGGATCTAAAACTGATCAGTTTTAAATGATTGCACATGCTCAAAGTCATTAATTTGCAATCCATTGTGCTCTAAATAGTTCCATGCCTACATCTGGGCCAGTATTTATCAGACTTAGAGTGGAATTGCAGACTTAAGAGATGAGAATTTCTTAAATTKACTCCTACTTTCAGACTTATGTGTAAATGCCAGTTATCAGACTAAGAATCACTCTTAYTCTCCTGGGTWTTTCAGGCAGCTCCAACAGTCTCTCAGCTGGTTAAGAGTTGCCACTAGGGGACTGAGAAGACAGAGATCACAGCTCTGTCTTCCCCAAGAATACTCTGCACCACCTCAGAAACTGCACAGGGGTCTCCCACCTGACTGTGATTCTCATTTATAATGTWCAAAGTAACTTAAAAAATGTGAAAAATAGTTTGTTATGCAGTACCGAAGTAATAAGATTATCGTCAGCACTAGTTAAAGTGGAATTGAACTTTTCTTTTTATTTTCTTTTAACCCCAGCTTCATCAATCTGTAAATTGTGAACTTATCTTAGAATTTTCACAATTTTATCTTGACATTCCTCAGAGAATATTCTTGTACATTAAATCTGATTCAGTAATTGGTAATTGCCTGGGGTTTTCAAACGACGTCATCCAGTATCAGCTTTGCAGCACAACAAATTGTTGTAAATCAGCTATAAGACTGACGCTTAAGATTTAGTCCTACACTTCACTTAAAGTGAGACTGAGACACAACTGACTTTAAATCAAGCTTTGAGCCAATAACTATTTTACACTTAAGTCCAATTTTAACAGCATTCTTAAGAAGTTTGCTAAATGCAGGCCCTGGTTTATTGAAATACACTTTACAATCAAAAGAGTCATTTCTGCCATTTTCTGGCTCATTGATWAAATGTGTCCAGAGGTGCGAAACATGCTACAACTGTGGTTATCAACTGGTGGCCCGCGGGCCACTTCGATTTTGTTAAAGGTGGGACTTTTATTATTTTTATTATATAAGGATATTATAAAGCTAAAAATATGTAGTGAATTTTAATGCTTGTTATTTTTACACTGTAGGGTAAAATAAAAAAGATCATTTCCATGTTAACTATGAAAATACTGTATATAATGCATACCAAATTTAATAAAAACTACAACTGACCTATGCAGGTTTATTTTATACTATTTTTTATTATCATCTAATCTGGTTTTCAAAGTTAACCTGATGAATTTGAGAGAAAGCTCCTTCTTTAAGGCTGGAAGCTGATTATTATAGTGGCTAACAGGCTACTAGCATAATCCCTGCAGACCCTTGGTCTAAACTGTGTCCATGTGTTTCTGTTTCAGTTGTGTTCTTAAGTCACTTTCACAACCAGCAGCATTACACGTTGAAAACCTTCTGCCATTGCAAATTAAAAATGCCAATAAAACTTATTTATTTAAATGCATTGAAAAGTCAATRGGAAAGCAGGGTGGCTATCAGCTTATTTGGGGGCATGGTGCCTGATTTTATGCATGCACATTAGAACCTGTAAAAAGGTCATTAAAAAAGTAAACTTTTTCCCATCTGTGCATATTAAAGTTGATGAACTGTCATGTTGTAGGCTCTACTAAAATAACTCATGACGCCAAGCTTTAGCACTTCACTATTGTCACTTCTTTACTAACTTACACTCCTCCCTCCCACTACTTCCTCCCGTCTTCACACTTACAGTTTTACATGATTTGAAATATTCCTTTTCCTCCACACGTTGGTGTCAGGGTCACAGTCCCTTCCAGTTTCACTCTTTCCTCACTGATCGGTGTCTATGTTTCCCCCCGTTTGAAATTCTCTGTCCATTGCCCTCCTGACAGCCACCCATCAACCTGGGTGCAATTTAAAAAGCCCTTCAACAGCTGCCATTCCACAGGGCTGGCTATCAGTCCAGCTGCCAGAGCCCAGACAGCGTTTCTC